TTAGAGTTTATCCAACGTTACTCAAATAATAATTTACTATTTTTTAAACTTTTTTACAAGGATTAATATCATCATAAATAATTAGTGTTTGGGAAAAATAACTAATTAATTTAATTGAAGTCTTTTTAGCTAGATGATATGCAACTGCTCGATATATATTTCAATCTAAAAAATCAATTTTCACCCATATTATTGGTATTCAGGATTAAATGTTTTTTTTATGCTTGAAATATTACTACAACTATGGAACCCAAAGATCCTATAAAAATCTAACGGTTAGAACTGCTTTCCGGCATGCTACAGCTGATGGTGCTAGTGTAACTACCATCAGCTATAAATGAGGCAGAAAAACCAACTCTTACAAAATGGGTCAGTGAAGGAACTCAAAAAAATGACTTGATCCTGCAATCAAAGTTATATCAGGTAGCGTAGCATTAAAAATTTTTATAAACTTGTTTACGGACTTGTAGATGCTCTTGATGTTACTAGGATGGGAAATACTTTTTTGTGTTATATTATATAAATCTAATTACGATTACAACAATAATAACTTATAGGTTGGACAAACAGGAAAGTTGTTACGCCAAATTTTTATTTGACAGTGTGTATTAGTGGAGCTATACAACATATAGCTGGTATAAAATAATAGCAGTTGTAAAAGACTGACCCAGAGGCATCAATTTTTCAAATTTTTCGGTAATCCTAGAATAACCGCAAGGAAACTTGCAACTTAAGAAATGAGTGATATGTGTGGTGATATAATATCAGACAGAACAACAATTACAAAATTGATTTATAATTTATATCAAAAATTTGGGTTATTCTTAATCTTTATGCCAAAATTAATTTTAGTTGGATAATAAGTCAAACTTTTGTTTATTTATTAAAATATTGAATCAATTATTCATGACAACCAATAATAACAACAAAATATAGTATAATAATAATAAATAAAAATTTTTTTTTATTAATTAATTGATTGACTCCATATGATTTTTTTCTGTTTAAGCTTTTTTGGTAACTTTTTTCTTCTTTCTAAGACTAGCTTTACGTTCTTTTTGCTCCTTCACACGTTTAGCAAGTAAAGTGGCGTATTCAGAAGCAGCAGCTTTTGCAGCCTGAGCTCTTCTACGTTTCAATGCTAAACGATGTCTTTTACGTTGTATAGTAATTGGAGTTACAAGGCGTTGGATTTTGGGTGCTTTGGTGAAAGGTTTCCTGTTGGTATTCTTTGGTGTGACTTCACGGCGAATAACAAATTTTCTAACATCATCATCTTTTGATAAATTCTAAGAGATAAAATAAATAAATCAACTTTAATTAATTAATTTGAAATAAATGAATATTTTTTAAAAAATAAAAAACATACAAAGAATTTACGAATTTTTGAAGCTCTTTTAGGACCCAATCTTTTTGGAACAGTAGTATCTGTTAATCCAGGAATATCTTTATCGCCTTGTTTTGCAATGACCAATGATAAAACAGAAAGATCACTTCCAACAATACATCCGCGAACAGATTTTCTTTTACGTTCACCAGTTCTACGAGGTCTATAACATGAATGTCCTTTTGACAATAATAATCTAACACGATCGTTACGTAGAACTCCCTGCTTCATTGGAAATCCTTGTTTATCATTACCACCAGTAATCCTAAACACATATCCGGTGTACTCTTCCCCAAGGCTATCAGCTGGCACTTCTGCACTTATACGTTTATCGTAAAAGATTCGACTAACAATAATAATATTAATGATAATAATAATATGTTTTTTTTTTAAATTAATTAAATAGAACTGCTTAATTAATTTAATTAATTGATTAATCAGTTAATTTAAAACCTCACACTTTTCGTTCATCTTCAAAGTCAATTACTTTTTGACAGCCGGTGGCTGGATTAGCAATATTCAACTAAA